ATGACATCAAAATCACAAGCAACAAAAGAAAAATAGGTAACTTGGATTTCATCAAAATTAGCTGTACAAACCCCTAGCAGGATAAACCCAAAGAAATTCAAGACCAGACACAATGTAATCAAACTTCAAAATTCTAAGGACAAGGAAGAACATTTTGAAAGCATCTAGTGAGAGAAACAGTGTATCACCTATAGAGAAACAATTCAAATGACCATGGATTTCTTAACAGAAACCATGAAAGTCATTTGCAAGTGGCACAAAATTTATCAAGTGATGAAAAAGAACTGTCAATTCAGAATTCTATGCCAATAACAATATCCTTTAGAAATGAAGGTAAAATCAACGTGCCCTCAAATGAAGGAAAATTAAGAGAAATTGTCATTAGTATACCTACCCTAAAATGATGGCTAAAGTTCTACAAACAGAAAATAAATAGTAAAAGCAGGACTCTTGGAAATCAATACAGAAAGAAGCATACAGACAAATGTATCTGGACTGCCAGCCACACAGTTGAGTGGCAAAGAAAACTGGAGCACTTAAGTCAGGGTACTGGACCTGGTGAATCCTGGCAAATAGACTGTATGGATTGCCCACCTTCATATGGAGAATACTGTTGGGCATGGACTATAGTAGAAACCCTTTCAAGATAAGTCACTACTATCTTCCACACAGCATATGGGGACAGTACTACTCAAGGATTCTTAGATGACCTATGTTACGTATTTAGCTTCCCCTAACACACCCAAAAAGATAATAGTGCTATTTTTATAGCTAAAAGTACCAACAGTGGAGAGTGACCTGGGACATTAGCTGGACCTTTCAACACCTGTATCAACTCCCAAGAAGGTGATATGAAGAGAGACTGTGAACTCTTAAAAACTGAAAAAGATAATTGGACAACCTGTCAAAAATGCTGTCAGTGGGGGCACCTGGGTGGCTCAGCGGGGCACCTGGGTGGCTCAGTGGGTTAAAGCCTCTGCCTTCAGCTCAGGTCATGATCCCAGGGTCCTGGGGTCGAGCCCCGCATCGGGCTCTCTGCTCAGCAGGGAGCCTGCTTCCCTTCTTCTCTCTCTCTACCTGCCTCTCTGCCTACTTGTGATCTCTGTCTGTCAAATAAATAAAATCTTTTAAAAAATGATGTCAGTGCTGTACAAATTAAGTTAATTTGGGCTCCACATGTGATAATTACGTAAAAGTACACCTCCCATTTAAGTATAATGTTTATTTATGAGGTTCAGGAGTGGGAGAAAGCCCTAACTGGCTACAGGAAACCCAGACTACATAATTTACCCTTATTGCTCTATTTTTTTCCCCTCCTATGCCTATCACTGGAAAACTGGACTGCTAGAATTTGCAAGTAGGATAAAAAGAGCTGGGATACTGAAACTTAGTTTATCTCCCCACCCAGCTATGCTTGCTGGATTTGGGCAATTATAGATAATGATTATAATGACCATGAATTAGGTGAAAACTCAGGTGATGTTGGCATGACCCACATGTCAGAGGGTAGGAGATATTCTAAAATGTTCTAAATTATAGAAGAAAGGAACTTCTGAGCTAACCAAGGATGAGTCTAAGCCTATGGTGTGGGTGAGAAATGGAGAGGACAGGGAAAAGGTGAGAGACTAGTCATAATGGTCATATGGTTGTGGAAGAAGAGGGACAATCCTGGTTGGTAAGATTTAGACCCTGGGCCTGGGAAGTCAGGGACAGAGGGAGGGAGGGAGGGACCATTACCCTCTTAGCTTTTGTCTGTACAACATCTGAGCAGCAACCCAGGCTTCCAACACCACCCTCAATTTTACAATTAGCCAACAAATAATCTCAATTTAAAAACTCAGAATCCTCCCAATAGCTACTGATTCCAGAAAAACAATCTCAGCAAGAAACGACAGAATAAGATGAACTTCCTGGACATTGAAATTGTTCTCTTTAGGCTCATGCTGTTATTGTTGGACTTCTTGTACATTTTTCACAGACCACTGATTGTTCTAAATTCTCTAGCATGAATGGTAATGGACAATTGTACTGCCCTGGATTTTTTGCTGGCCAGTTTAGGAGGGGTATGGGTCATTGCCAGTATCTCTTGCCTCGTTTGAATTAATGACCTATTTAGCTGGATTGGCTTCGGATGAGGAGCCCGACTATGGTCCAATTTCCAGTGGGCCTGGTTATACTACTACATGTCACTATCGTGGTCATTTTTGGCTGAAGTTGCCTAAGACACATGGAATGTATTTGACCAAAGCCTCTATCAGTACAACTAATTAGAGTATCTGATAACCTATGTGGTAATTCATATTCCTGAGAATCTTTATGCGTAAACAGTTGGGAGGTCTTGTTGTAGGGGAGTGGCTTCACCATGGTGTCCCGGCTAGTTTGCACATATGTAAGCCATGCAGGCAAAAGCTTGAACAACAGCTACTCTGAGTCATGGCAGAACACCTTGTGATCCTTCTAGAACATGAGAGGATGAGAGGAGCTTTACAGGCTTTCAAACCCATCTCCCACTCCCTTCCCTATCTCTTGTGGGAGGTGATCAGGAGATAATTTCTCATTGCCTCTCAGATTCTGAAGAGGTATGAGGCTTTCTGGATATAACTACAGACTGTAACACTGCTTAGCTACAGTCTGAAATTGGCCCCTCACCAAGGATTCCTTGAGCCCCCTTTTGTTTTGGTGTCATTGTGTTTGGTGTGTGAGACAAGGATCTGGGGACTGGAATGTTTGGATACTGGGATGGAGTCCCGCATCAGGCTCCCTGCTCCTTTTGCTGTTTACATAAGTAATACATTGTATGAATCTAAAAGCGACTTCGTGTATCTTTCCTGGTCAAGTCAGTTAGGACAGGGCCCTGACCTTGCCTGCTGTTGTGTGTTTAACAGGAAGAAGAATGGAAAGAGTAGAAATATATGGTGAATATGGATAAAAATAGACTATCTCCTCTTTGGTTTTGAACCAAAATGCTGGTCAGAACCATAAGAGACCTTCTTTCTGGTGGACTGTGACTTAATAATCAGGCACCTGAGGGCTCCTTATTCTGAGCTAAAACTCCCTCTGATTATTTTGTACTGAGCGCAGTTTTCTCCATCTTGTCCCTAAGAAGATCGTGGGAGGATCTGTTGTGTGCTTATCCTTTCTGTGATCTTTCCCAGGGTAAGACTCACTGCTTCCTTCTCAGTGCTCACAGACTATTCACTCCTGTCCTTTCAGGAGCTTCTCCAGGATCCTCTTAGAAACAAGCATGCAAACAAATCAGGAATCTCATCTGAAGTCTCCTTTGTTCTGTGATTTTTCACAGGTAAGGTATCTGTAAACCCTTAATACCTGGGGACCAGACAGGAATCTGAGTCTCTGAACTGGAATTTCAGTGAAGCAGACATCTTCCTACTTTGTTCACCCCAAGAGACTATATATACAAATGGGAAATGGCCAGACCATATAGAAAAATAGAACTCCGACCCATAGCCTGCAGCAATCAGTCCAGGAAGCCAAAAGGAACCCTGTGGCAATCAGCACCAAAGAGCCAGAATTTGATTAATATCCTCCCACCAACCCCTCACATAAGGTGCCTTGTTTCTAGTGAGCACCCCCCACCCCCCACCAAGCCAAGGATCTCCAATCAGAGCATACCTGAAGTCTCTCCCCACCCCACCTCCTCCCCTCTTCTCTCCTCTCCTCTTTTTTCTTTTTTTTTCTTTTCTCTCTCTCTCTCTCTCTCTCTTTTTCCCGCTTTTCTTCTCTTTTCAGCCATAAAGCTTTCCCACTTCTCTGCGGGGCTTAGTCTCTGTCAAATGCAAGTGATGGTGGTTGACTCCCTTGCTTATAGCAAGCTCTGAATAAATAGTCTTTGCTTGTTCTCATTTTGGCGGTCTTCTTTTATTTCTACAATTTCTTTTAAAGGTTTAACTTCCCGGCAAGCTATGCGATGTTAGATAAGCCATTTCTTCTCTTTCTCCACCTGAAAAACTGGTTCAACATTTATTCATTCCTTTATTGGACAAGTATTCCTCAGCACTTAAAGAAACTGGGCCATAAGAGGGGCTAGACGTTGGGTAGATACCGAGGCACAAGGACGATCAAGGCCATTAGCTGCTCTCTGGGAATGTACAGCCCCGTCAAGGATGGAGATCTATGAACAGGCATGTCAAGAGAAGCAAGTGCTCTTTCATACTAGCATCCATCCTACGAGCGCAGTGCAGTAGAGCAGAAGGGTGGTCAGTGGGAAGAGGAGGGCTGGGAAAGGATTCCCAGAGGAAGCCTTCTCCCCAACCGCCCGCTCCCCTGCATCCCCACAGCCGCGCCCCGAGGCAGCTAGCGTGTCTGGAAGAGCCGGACGCGCTCGGGGCTCCCTGTTTCTTTTTAGGGCAAGAAGGGAGGACCACAGAGACGTGGCGCCCTCCACCGTCCTAGAGAAGCCAGAGTGGCAAGAGTGCAGCTGCCTCCACCTCTCCAGTGCGGAGCTCTGGCTCGCACAAAGCGTGGGGAGCTGGCGCGGGGCTGGGTCGCCTCGCGGGGCGTGGAGTGCGGAACGTGCGCGGCCGGCTGCTGGGCGCCAAGTCCACCCTATCGGACCCGCCTGGGTCCGGAGCGTCCCTCCCCAACCCTGGGCAGCCCCCGGTCTGGCCCGGCGCGCGCTCGCTTCCCGGGAGGGCGGCCTGGGCCATGGCGGCTGCGGCCCTGGCGATCCGGGACCCCTTCAGCCCTGCACTCGAGCTGCTACCGGGACAGCCCGCACCGGTCCGGGCGCGCCCGGTGAGTGCGGGGCCGGCGCCACGAAGCTGGCTCGGCTCTGCCCCGGGCTCTAGGCCCACAGAGGGGCGGAGGGGGCAGTGCGGCGACCGGGAAATCGGGGTGCAGCCCAGTGTGGAGGGGCCGGAGGAACAGGCAGGGAGCAGAACGGATTCGACATCCCCCAGACTGGCGCCAGCAGGGAAAACACGTGCAGCTGCACAGGCGGGAGCCAAGCACTGGGGCAGAGGCGTTCACAGAGCGCTGTGCGCCGCGACGCATGTCCAGCATTTCCATGTCCCTGGTTTTTACAGAGCTGGTTATGTTTGAGGTGGGTCTCGGGATGAATCTGAGTTTGCCGGCCCCAGAGGGAGGAACTGCATCTCCAGGCAGGGGGAGCTGCAGGTGCAAGGACACAGATCTGGGCAAGGCAGGGGTTTGGGTTCGTGACAGGTGACAGGCTAGGGGATGGGGGGGGGTGGCGGTGCAGGAGATGATTCTTGGCAGGTGAGCGGGGCCTCTGAACAGTCAGTGGAATTGCCCATCTTGGGTCTAGGCAGAAAGCTGACAGCTTTCTTGAGTAAAACCCTTGCTCCCTGACCATGCAGAGGATTTGGGTGTTTTGAGGTGGGGCAAGGGTGAACCAGCCAGTCTTTGAGCCCTGGGGTGCTGGGTGAGTCGCTGTGCTGACTTTGTAAGGCAAGGACCTACGTGAAATGCAGCAGTATCAGCCTCTCAGTAGTGTGGAGATCGAGATCCCGAATGAGGCAGCGGCTTGGAATTAGAAGCCTTGATGGCTCTTCATTAGTCCTGCTTGTGTTTCTTAAGGAAGAAGGTAAGAAAAAGTGCAGAAGCTTGGGCTCCCAGAGATACAGGAAAAGGGGGGCATTGAGACTGAGAAGTGAGGAAGAGAGTAGGGTGCCACGTTTGAGAGAACGTGCTGGAGTGGCAGAGTGCAGGGAATCAAGTCAGAGTGTGGATCTCCAGAGCAGCCTGGGTATTCTGAGGTGCCTTTAGCTGCCTCTGTGGCCCATGACAGTGAGGGGGAGGAAGAGAAGAGAAAGAGCCTCACATAGGGGCACCAGGGTGGCTGGAGTGAGGCTAGAAGGCAGTGTGGCCCAGTAGAGAACAGCTGGAGAGGCAAACAGCCCTGAATTCTGTCTCCATTCTGGAACTTTGGGGGCAGTGGTTCTCTGAGCCTGTTTCTTCTATAAAATGAATCTGATCCACTCCTCATAGGCTGTGAGGCATATACAAAGTTTAATATAGGTAAAGTGCCTGCCAAAGGCTCAGTCAATAGATGGTAGTTGTACTTCTTATCAAGGGTTGACGACCTCTGACAGAGGGCCTGCTGTGGGAAAGGAGGGTACCTAGAGTCCGGATCGTTGTTTGGGCCACAAGGATGAAAAGGGAAAACTTGCAGAGACTCACGAAAAAGAAGAAAGGATGAAGAGACATGAAAAATTGATGGCTGATCCCTTGTATCTTTGTAAGTAAGTAGGTGTGCCAATTGGCAGAGAGTTCCGGAGACCTTCAGAATCCAGAAACTCGACTGGCATCCCTTCCAGTACTTCTTAGTGCCTGGTCTACCCCTTACTCCAGGCCTGGGTCTGGGATTGTCCTAGGGCATTTAAACACATGTTGTTTCAGGAGTTAGTGACCTTCGAGGATGTGGCCGTCTACTTCTCTGAGAACGAGTGGACAAGCCTGGCCCCCACTCAGAGGGTCCTGTACAGGGATGTGATGCTGGAGAATTATGGGGCTGTGGCTTCCCTGGGTAAGGATTTTATTTTTGGACTCTGCTTCTGCCCTTCAGAGTTTCCTGGCTCCTTCTGCCTTAGAAGCTGAGGAGTCTTTGATAACCCCCACCTGAGTGGCAACCTTGGAACCTCGGATTCTTAATGACCCAGCCTCAGTGGTTGCTGGGAAGTGGGAAGTCCTGGTATACATTTGAGCCTCATATCAGACTTTCTTGCCCCAGGGTGAGAGCTGCCTGACTCCCAGCTGGGGGTAGAGTAGAAAAAGAGCAGATTCCTGGTGCCCCAGTAATGCCCCACCAGATTCCTGGTGCCCCACCAAGTGCTCAGTTTCCCACCTGCTCCGTCTGGGAGATCGAACCCAGTACCAAGCACCCTCATGCAGATGTCTGAACTTGAGAGCTGTAAGAGAGGGAGAGAACAAGAAAGCTCAATCTCAATGAGTGGAGTCATCCATGTGCTTACTCAGACTGTTATTGAGCACCTCTTACTCTAATTCCTGACCTTTGTAAGTCTCCTGCTCCCCCGCTCCACTCCCCAGTCTCTGGTCCCTTCCCCTAGACTTCCTTTTCTTGCTCTCTCTAGTTAATTCCCTTCTTTCCCCTCCGCCCCTGAAGAAAAAGCCTGGGAGGAGCCCTGGGATTGCTCTCTGTCACCCCACTCACCTGCCTGTCCCATTTCCTTCCCCGAAAGCAGCATTTCCATTTCCTAAACCGGCTCTGATTTCCCAGCTGGAACGAGGGGAAGCACCCTGGTGCAAAGCTCCTCAGGGAGCTCTGGATGGAGAGGGCCCGAGGGGCATCTCCTCAGGTGAGTGAGGACAGGTGCCAGTCATCTGACCAATTCCTTTGTCTTGATCTTTAAAATGTAATCAGTATGCATTCTCTTAACCTAGTGCTTTAGACACCAGTGGAATTCCTTTTTTTTTTTTTTTTTTTTTGTCTTCTTTTTCTGTGCTCCCACGATTTTCCATCTCCTTGAGTCTGTTTATTATTCACCCTGGCTCCTCTTCATTCACTTGTTTGGCCTTGAACCCATCTCCACTGTTCTTCTCATGGCCTCCATTCATCTGTTCTCCCTGACTTTGCTGTTGACACACTGGGCTGGCCTTTCTACATTCTCCACCTCCTTATAGTCTTCCAGCAGAAGATTCCGACTGCCCTTTTGTGGTGTCATGCCCCTCTTTATCATTATAAATCAAGAAGGCCCAATAACTCTGAGCCTTATAGCTCCATTTCAGGGGTTTCTGGTGGGCAAAACCCTGGCATTCCTTTCGGCCCAACACAGGGCTTTCCTGTTCCTAATTTCCTAGTGACAACTGTGTCCCCTTTTTGCCTCCCTGGCCCTGTTCCATCTTCTTCCTGCAGAAGCTCTTCTGTGGGCACATGGAACTTGAGCTGTATCTTCAACTTCCCCATTCTCTGCTGTGTCTGGCAGTCTTTCCATATTAGGATGTTTTTGATTGCAAGTAACAACCCAATTCAGATTGGCTTAAACAAAAAAAGGGAATTTACTGTTTCATGTAAATAGGAAGTTCATAGGTAGGGTGCAGGTACACCTTGATCCAAGTTTCAGTCTCTGCTCTTTTATATCTCCTTGTATGTTGGCTTTGTCTACAGTCTGGCTCCTCTTGTGGTTGTAAGATGACTGGTAGTTATATATACACTATGGAGTATTATGCCTCCATCAGAAAGGATGAACACCCAACTTTTGTATCAACATGGACGGGACTGGAAGAGATTATGCTGAGTGAAATAAGTCAAGCAGAGAGAGTCAAATATCATATGGTTTCACTTATTTGTGGAGCATAACAAATAACATGGAGGACATAGGGAGATGGAGAGGAGAAGGGAGTTGAGGGAAATTGGAAGGGGAGGTGAACCATGAGACTATGGACTCTGAAAAACAATCTGAGGGTTTTGAAGGGGCGGGGGGGTGGGAGGTTGGGGGAGCCAGGTGGTGGGTATTATGGAGGGCACGTATTGCATGGAGCACTGGGTGTGGTGCATAAACAATGAATTCTGTTATGCTGAAAAGAAATTAAAAAAAAAAAAAGAAAGAAATAGTACATTAGAAAAAAAAAAAAAGATGACTGGTAGTTGTAACCAAGGCTCTGCTTCTTCATACCTAGGAAGAGAAATAGGGCAGGCCTTCCTCAGGCCTTTGCGATGTACCATCTTAAGTCTTAGGACAACTCTAAACCAATCTCTGTGGCCAGAGAAGCGTGCACTGATGGTCTTGGCCTGGACTGCCAGTTTCTGAAACTATCTCTCTTGGAGTGAGTGGGATAGGTTAACCCACTTGACTTAGACCAGTGAGGGCTACACTAGGAGCTGCAGTTGGGACCACTCCCCTCTAAAGGGCATGGCTACTCCATAATGGTGGGGATGATGGGAGGGGGGTGGTTGGCGGTGGTGGTAGATTGGATGTAGAGAGACAACTGTAGTGTCCTCTGCCTTCTCTCAGGATCTCAGTGCTTACTCTCCTACCACCCATGGGAATTTCCCATCTTGGGTCTAGGCAGAAAGCTGACAGCTTTCTTGAGTAAAATCCTTGCTCCCTGACCTGTAGAAAACTTCCTTTGAGTACACGCCCCTATTCGAAGTCCATTTTCGGGCTTCGAAAATGGGGACACACAGTCCTTGGCTTCTGCAATATAGAAGGCGGTCATTTGGAGGGTGAGGAATTGTTCTGTTTTGTTTTTTTTTTTAAGAGGCTTTGGATGGGAGTTCCAAAGAGACAAATCTTAGCTAAGCCTAAAGAAAAGTTTATTGGCTTGGACCTTTGCTATTAGAAGTGTCTGTCATTAGAATAAGAAGTAACTTCTGGAAATGGCTGAGTGAGGCTTTAGGGCCATGTCTAATGCGTGCCAAGGAGAGACCGACCCATAGTTGGCCCTTTGTAGAAAGAGAAGGTGTTGGGGTCCCTTATCGAACGAGACTGAGACAAAGTGAGAGTTCTGCAAAGCCTTATTCTATGCCAAGCATTAGAAGTTAGACTGACTGGCCAGGGGAATGAGACTGAGACAAAGTGAAAGTTATGTGAAGCTTTATTCTATGCCAAGCATTAGAAGTCAGACTGACCAGCCAGGGCCGCCTCCGAAGAGAGCGACCCCCTCCCAATCTCACAGGCTGGTTTTATAGGGCATAACCGCAGACCCAAGGTACGTGGCTTCTATTGTTAAGGCGTTTACTCCCAGAATCGATACCCAGAACCATACCAGGAACTAGGGGGGCGTTTATTCCCGGAATGAAGTCCGTGGATGTAAACAACAATATGGCTACCTAGGCAATATGGAGTTGCTCTGGCTAAGCAGGCACTAATGGTTAAACAGGTTTTAACATTAAATTGGCCCTAACAAAGGCAATATAGATAGGTGGTTAGAGAGGGAGGAAGCTAAAGGACTGTGGCTTCCCAACATAGCCTCAGGAACTACTCTTTGCAATTCCATCCCATCCTGGTTGTTTTCTATGTCAGTTGGCTTTTGCCTTCTAGGGGAGGTAAAGAAGAGAACTTGTCTCTCCTATTTCTTCTTGACATTTAAAAATGAGTGATTCATTTTCATGTTCTGGGAAACTGATGGAATCCCAGCTTCGTTGTGCACCTGTTTTCTATCCTTTATATTGTTCTCCTCAAGTTTTAGGTCATCTGTGTACCAGTCTCTCCACCCACCTTCATTCTCCCTTACCACTTCCATCTCTGCTCCTTTCCTAACGTGCCCCAATCTTCTGACTGAGCCAGCCTTATTTATATCTTGACCCTGGCAGGATGTCCATTTCTAAAGCCTGCTGGGATCTCCCATCTTGAGCAGGTAGAAGAACCATTGAACCTGAAACTGCAAGGAGAGGGTCCAAGCCTAATCTGTACTGGTAAGTGAGGGAAACAAATGCTTTCCTCCCAGGCACATGTTTTCCACTGTCTTTCTTTGTAAACTGTTAAAATTCCATTTTACTGTTTATGTTCTAAATAAAAATCCCTTGAGAAATCCCCAAGTCAACCATTTAATGAAGAGCAAAGTTAAACTCTAAACTTCAGGTTTCATTTGGACATGATCAATTAGTTCGGGTGGGTCTTGGGTCTTAGACTCTAACAGAACAGATGGTCTACTGGCTGCTATGGTCAACCAAAATTTTAAAAGTAAATGCTGTATTTTAATCATTCTGTTAGTTTTTAGGGATCAGAGAGCAAGTAATGTATGGCCCCTCTCTTGCAGGGCCTCACAGTCTAATGGTACATTCTACATATACATATAAATACGTATACATATATATAAATGTATAATTTACATAAACATATACATACATATACATATGCATAAATGTATAGTTATAGCAAAGTCCGATGCTGTAACAGAGGTGTAACCAAAGCACTGCGGGAACAAAGAGGAGGCAGTCTTTGCCTGAAGTAGTTTGGGGAAGTGCTTTTCATGGTGGAACTGGGAACTGGATTGAATGAGAAGACCATATTTCCTTTTAGTGTTAACCAGTATGAGGAAGATTCTCCCTGTTGCTTCCCCCTGTGTGTGACAAGTTCAGGTTCCCCAGGTATACCACAAGGATTTGTTATTCTGAACAGATCCTCTGTCCTGAAACCTGGCCTTCTCATGTTAGAAACCAGACTACCTAGAAGAAATTCTGACTTGTCTCCCTTAGATTCAACTCATGTATTTCTGGAGAGCTCCCCTGTTGCTTGGGAATCATAGCCCTCAGGGACTCTGTCTAGTTTTTGCCTTACTGTGGCATACACTTTGGTTACTTTCTGTATGATATCCCTGTTGTGCCATTTTCAGCTAGAGCAGGGCCGCTGAGACACAGGGGTGGCAGTTGGAGTGAAATGGACACATTAGTACCACTTGGTGACCTTACTTGCTCTGTCCTGGATAATGATGACATTTGCAGCTTTGATTTCTTCTTTCAGAGAGTGTGTTGAAGAGTGAGAAAGAAGATTTTGCTCTGAAGGAGGAACATTGTGAGGAGGCAAAGGACCACATGGTGGTATCACGCAGACCTCGGTGGTATGGTTCCCAGGAATTCTGGTTTGGAAAAACCTGTGAGGAGTTAAAAAGCAGGTTAGGGAGATGGTCTGACTACTCAAATGGGAGAAGTGTGGAGAACACTGCAAATGATATTATAGAAGTGATTGTCAAAGATGAGATGGTGTCAGGAGAAGATAGTTCAGAGAACATTGATGTGAGTACCCACCTTGTTATCCATCAGAAAATTCTCAGTCAGCAGGTGTTCTATATATGTGAAGAATGTGGCAAGTGTTTTGATCAAAATGAAGACTTTGACCAACATCAGAGAATTCATAATGGAGAGAAGGTCTATGGATGTAAGGAATGTGGGAAGACATTCAGTTTTAGATCACATTGCATTGCACATCAGAGAATTCACACCGGGGTGAAACCCTACGTGTGTCAACAATGTGCTAAAGCCTTTGTTTGGAAATCAAACCTGATTCGGCACCAGAGAATACATACCGGAGAGAAACCCTTTGAATGTAAGGAATGTGGGAAGGGCTTTAGTCAGAACACAAGCCTTACACAACATCAGCGAATCCATACTGGGGAGAAACCATATACATGTAAGGAATGTGGGAAAAGCTTTACTCGGAACCCAGCCCTACTTCGACATCAGAGAATCCACACTGGGGAGAAGCCTTATGAATGCAAGGACTGTGGGAAAGGCTTCATGTGGAACTCTGATCTTGCTCAGCACCAGAGAGTCCACACGGGGGAGAAGCCCCATGAATGTACGGACTGTGGGAAAAGCTTTATCTGCAAGGCACACCTTATCCGACATCAGAGAATCCATACTGGGGAAAGACCCTATAAATGTAATGACTGCGGGAAGGCCTTCAGTCAGAATTCCGTTCTGATTAAGCACCAGAGGCGCCATGCTAGAGAGAAACCCTGCAATTGTCTAACCTCTCACTTCCTTGAACATTAGCAAACACATAATAGCGGTACTTGTTTGTAATTCTTATGCACCAGGTACTCCGGACACAAAACGAGGTGGTTGTCCACAGTTTGTTTTAACTCTAGTTGCCAGTATTATCTTGCCCCTTCTGAACAGATTCCCCTTGATCTAGCAAGACTGGTCGTCCTGTTCTACCACGTTCATGCTAGGCAAATTTTAGTTGAGTGTCTGCTCTGTGAGATACTATGCTAACCACTTTACATACAATCTTTAGTTTCTCTTAATCCTGTTCATGTGGGTACTCCTCATTTTACAAATGAGAAGTCTGGGGTTGAAAGAAGTTATAAAACTCATTCAAGGTCACTTAGCTAATGTGTTATGGAATTGAGATTGGAAGCAGGTCTACCTGACTCTAGATTTACTGTTCTTTATTTGTGCACATTTCTGCTTCTGCTCATTTCTATTTGCTCAAGTTTCCCTAGGCTAAAAATTTCCCTTCCTCATCTAAGACCCAGCTCTGTCAGCCAAACAGATCTCTCTTCCTCTTCTATTTGTCATCAGTACTGTCCAAACTGGTATTTCACTATGTGCTGTCTTAGATTCTAATGTCTTATGTAAGTCCAGCTAAATGGCTCTTTGAGGACCAACACTGTATTTCTTTTATGTTTTTCAAATTTTGAAACGTATTTATTTTCGACTAGCTATAACATGCTCATGATAAAAAAAAAGTTGAAATAGTTCAAAAAGGTGTTTAATGAAAAGTAAATCTCCCAGTCTACCTTCTCAGAGACAGCCACTTTTACTGGTTTTGTGTGTTCCTGGATGTATTCTTTTTATATACAAGTACTCAGCTTTCATAAATCTACCTCACTGAAAACCATATTTGCTGTAGATGACAGTGCAGTTACATTGCCAACTCCAGAACTTTCTGTCTTCCTCTGAGGTTGTGGTCCACCTTGAGGTCACCAAGGTAATTAAGGAAAGTAGTGGAGGGTAGTCTGAGATGTGCAATCTTGAGAGACCTGATTCCTCTTGTGTTAGAAGATAGCATTGTGGAAAATGTAGACTTTTGTTTTGTTTTCATAAAAATGTGTATAGCTACAACCCTTCTCATTGTTCCACTATCCCAGATGCCTTTCCAGGCTTTCCCTTCTATTGTCATGATATCTCACATTTCAGAGTAAGCTGGAGCTTCCGGTAGTAAGCTACTGACTTAGAGAAACAAAGGGCCTATTCAGAGAAGAGTGCTGGCCAAAACAGATGAAATGTACATTCCAGACTTCACCTTTAGAGCCATTTTTCAGTTTGCACTTTGCCTCTGCTCATTAGGCATTCTACTTTAGAAGCTCCCTACCAGGTAATATTACAATTGTTGACTAAGGAGCAAGGAAGAGAAGCCAGAGGCTGGCTTGGACTAAACTAATACTTCCTCAAAATTACAAACATACTATCTGATTGCTGAAGCCTAAAACCATGTAGTAAGGAGAACTTGGCTTAGCATAGTCCAGTTAGGGTAACCTCTAATAAGCATTGAAACTTTAGTACTACACAGAACCAAGGAATGGAAATGAGTGATGTGAACAGGCATTTGGGGGAAGTTTATTAGGCAAATATCACTGAGCACTGCTTATATGCAAAGCACTGTGCTAGGTGCTGCATGAACAATGGTAAGGCAGACCTGCTTCCTGCCTTTCTGGAACATTCATCTAGTGAGAAAGACCAAACAACAACAAAAATATCAAGTAATTTATTAAAAAATTGCTAAGTGTTATGGAAGAAATGAATGCTACAGAGAGAGGGAATGATGGAGAGGGAGCCTCTTTATATAAATGGTCAGGGAAGGCCTAGCCTAAGAGGTCATATTAAAGCTAAATCAGAATGAGAAGAAGGCACATGTATCAAGAATAGGAAGAACAGCAGGCAGAGGGAACTGCTCTGTAGACTCTGATGTGTGAAGGGTTTGGCATGTTCAAGAAACCAAAAGTTTTGGGCTATAACGTAATGATCAAGAGTAGGAGAGGCATAAGTTAGATTTGTAGACACAGGTGGACCAGATCATTAAATTCCATCCTAAGTGAAAGGCCATTAAAGGGTATTCAGTGGAGGAATGACATGTTGGATTCACATTTTAGGATGATTGCTGACTGATAAGTAGCCAATGGTCTGTAGAGGGAGGAAAGTGAAAGGAGACCATGTTGGAGATGGCTAGCAATCCAGGTTGGAGATGATAATGACTTGGAGTGGGTGGTGGTAGTAGAAATGGAGAGAAAATGTGTTTAAGATATAGTTTGGAAATAAAAATCAGTGACCTGCTAACAGTGGATGCAGGAGTGACAGAATTAGGGACAGCTTTCTGGTTTGTGGTTTGATCATTTAGTCTAATTGAGAATTAGACAGCAGACCACTTACTGGAATGAATAAGACTGGAGTGGGAATGGGTTTGGGGAAGGAGAAACTGAGAACTCTGTTATGGATTAAGATTTGAGATATGTATGAGATGTATAAGTAGAAATTTCAAGTGGTGGTTGTATATGTGGGCTAGAGCTCACGGTTGGTCATATCTAGAGTTTTGCATCTGGGAGTCCTCAAATGAGCAGAAGGTATTTAAAGCCATGGGAAGAAATGAATGAGATCCCCTGGAGTTGCTCTACCAAACACAGTAGACAGGGGCTATATGTAGGTATTTAAATTAGATTTAAAATTTAGGTTCTTATATTGGCCAGAACATACTGGATAGTGTAGACATAGAACATTTTCATCATTTCAGAAAGTTCTATTGGATGGTACTGCCTCCGGAGAGTATAGCAAAATATGAGAACCCAGGATAGAGTCCTATAACACACCAATTCAGTATTTAGGGAGTTGGACAGGTGGAAGTGCCAGGAAGAGATACTAAGAACAGTCAGTGAGAGATTGGTGATATTACCAGTGGACACATTACACAGGCACAGTTGATAGAGGGTTGAATGCTTGGACTAGTGCTACAAGGAGGTGATCATAAGAATCCTAAATATTAATAAGCTCCCAGAGTGAGGGTGATATGTATGCTAGATGACATCAGTATCCTAAAATGGGAGAGAGATAATGAATAGAAGATTAACCCATAGAAATGGAACCACAAAAGAGAAGAAACAGTTTGGATTAATGGAGGAGGATCATGGAAGTTAATCAACCCTAGGAACTCTTTTCCTCAAAGATGGAAATATTTGTAGGCAGAGTGGTGGAATGGCAAGACAAATTTTAGGAGTATCGCAATGAGAGAATTATCAAAATACAGCAAAAGATGTGTATTTCAGAGGGATTAAGAAATACCATGTAGAAATGGATGCCCCCTACTAAGAGAATTCCTGACTAGTTTTCTCCTTACCAGAGCCCCAGAGACAGGTACTTGAAAGCCCTGAGCCTATATCAAAGACCGTAGTCTGTGGTGAAGGATTCATAACATGGAAGACCTTCCAATTTGTAATGACACTTACCACACATCTCAAAGTCAGAAGAGGAATGAAATTAATACTCACTTCCTAAATTTTGGAGAAATTTAAATATGAAAGAAAAATTAGAAGATTAAGATACTTTTTGATAAATTGCAGTTAGCAATATATTAAAATCAAAATTGATTATGGTAAAATTTTGTCTTCAAAGTTTTCAAAAGTAGGATCAGAAAGTGAGGAAATGTAAAAATAGTGTATAGAGTCATTCACATAGGAAAATTAGCTGTTCTGCCCAGAATCTCTTGGCGGTAACGAATAATGAAATCCCTTCTGTTTTACAACTCAGAGGGAGCTACAGAGTTGTCTTAGAAGCAACTCAGTTGCAAACCAGTATCTGCAATTCTGAGCATGTCTTTGTCATGGTCAAGTCAGGGTTCCGTATTATTCATCTCTGATTTGGTTCCCAGCATCCATTCTCCTTCTTTATAGTGACAATAACCCAAATAATCTTTGGGAAAACATCCTTTCTCAGCCACGTGGTTTGGCCTCACCCCCAACTTCCTAAGCCCAGGTCCATCAACTTGTCCTTTTTGGGCAACAGAACCAAGGAGATACGAGGAGATATTTAGTAGGCCTTCTGAAAGAGAGAGGCTTTTCTTTGAAAACAACAAAGACACTCTCTGTCCTCCTCTATATGATATATAGGAAGATATGAGACCTTGAACTAGGGCAACACTTTTTTTTTTCTGTTAAAAGAACAAGTGAGGGGGGAGTCTGGAGCTTCCTGGTGTTAGCAAGTGGAGCCTGAGAATGAAGGCAATACCAAAGAAGATAATGGCAAACTAGAGAAAAAGTGGGTCCCTGGTGACATTGAGCCACTAGGCCAAGCCTTACCTGAGAGAGACCTACCTCTGGGCTTTTCAGCTATGTGAGCCAAAACACATCTTTTGTTAAACCAGTTAAATTTGGATTTTCTGTCATTTGCAAATAGTCATACTGATAGAGGCTTGTATTTGAAAGCAGTGGTTTCTAGTACAGCACCTTAATGTTTCATTTTCTCCTGCTTAAAAGTCACACGAGCTGCCCATTTGTATATCATCTCAGTTGCTTGGAGTTTGAGTGGCTAATAGGCGTGCCCCATGCCTTACACTTAATTTCATGAATACCAGCAGACATATTTTGTCATACCTCAGCATACCTTCCAAATATGAATATAATACTCTCCATTCCAGATTCTCTAGTGGATAGCTTCCTGTCTCCTTTGATGTATTTTCTAGGCACCCCCTACCCGACCTATGTGAATTTGGGGTTTGCCATGTCACCTATATTTTAAGTTGGTTTCTTGTGAAATAACCGGATATTTTTCGTATCCACTGATGCATTGTTTTACTGAGCAGTGTTCCAATACTACTGAGAGGTACAGAGTTCCCTAGAGCATGTTCTCTGAAATTGAAAGTCATTTATCTGCCAAGTGATTGAGAAGTAAGCAAGAAGTTACTTCCTTACCTAGGCAAAAAGAGAAAACAGAAAGAACTGGCTTTGATCTTCCCTTGCCCCCAAGAATATATTTATATTTCTGGTATAAGTGATACAGGTGTTGGAGTTAAGCCAAAGCTTTCTTCATCTTCCACCCCCATTTCCAGGATCCCTAGTCCAGGCTGGACTTAGTATGTTGCTTAGTATGAATGAACCATGAGACCCATTCTGATTGCTAGTATATTGAACCCACTAAAGTTGATAAAAAGTTATTCACTCATTTTCAAGTATATAACAAAAATTTTATTTTGTTGATAATATAAAAAGAAATGAGAAAAAGTGAGCAGGAGCAAAGAAGCAAAAATGTAAATTTGCCTATCAGACAATCAGCTATTGTCTTGGATGGTGTCTTACACTATAGATAAGTAAGTTGGGAAAGGGATGAGCAGCATATACACTGGGTTGCCTTATACCCTTTTCATGGCAGGGACCCCACACTGACAATTTGTCTTTGTGTTCCTCCTACAAAATGTCACCCCATGCTCTTTCTCTAGGGTTCCATAATAGAGAAGTATTTGATATCTGAAAGAAAGGGAAGAGTCAGGCATGACCAGAGACACCAGGGTAGGAAAACACCCATGATGGACATGACCAGGTCAGGGCCAGCCTTCTCTGGGCCCTGTCCAGCTCAGCCCTTCTGGCTCCCAGCCTGGCTCACTGCTGGGCCATTCAGGACTGTTCACTATGAATCAGTGGTGCAGGCCCAGGTTCAGGGGCCAGGGCAGCACTAAGGAAGGGGGTGAGGGGGCTGCAGAAACATCTCCTAGACCCAGAAGAGAGAAGGCCTCAAGTACCTGGATGAGACCAGATTCCTCAGGTGAGACAATGGGTGAGAGCTACAAAGAGAAGCTATGCATTGCAAAGATGAACACAGCAACATGATGCCCATAACACATTTCTTCCTTTCATTTCTTTTTGCTTTCTCTCTTTGCAATGCATAGCCCCTCTTTAGCGCTCACACCCATTGTCTCTCTTTATGAGGCTCACCCATCAAACCCCAGCCTGGATACCCCACCCCAGATCTCTCTTTGAAGATCACAACACACACCTTTACTCTCAGCTCCCAACATCTCAGCTCCACCAAGCCAATGGTACTGTCCCTTTTCACCATTCTCCGGCTTCACCCAGTCAGTT